GGGGCGCGCTCAGGAAGCGGCGCGCGGCGGGCGGGGCGCCCGGGAGGCAGCGACACCTGTGCGCGGGGCACGCGGCCCTCACGCCTGCGCCCGAGGGAGGAGGGGCCGCCCCGCGCCTGCCCCCGCCCCCCAGGACTCCCCCGGCCAAAACCAAGAGGCGACCCCACCCGAGGCAGCCTGCTCCCGGGAGGCTCCCCATCGTACGCCCCAGGGACGGCGGGCCTCGGGGGCAGAGTGAAAAGCCACCGTGAAGCCCGAAATGGGGCGCGAGGAGGCGGAATCGGAGGGAGAGGTCAATCCCCGCCAAGCCGGACAGCCCTCCTTCCCGACCCAGCCCACACCTCCACGCCCAGAAAACCAGGGCAGAACGGCTGCTTGTCAGGCAAACCAGGATATTTAACGGAAATGACCATAAATCCCTATAAATAATCTCAAGACGCCAACATTTGGGAGAATCAGAGCGGCCCGGCTGCAAGGGGCACAGGGAGCCAAAGTGTCCCATCCTCCTTAGGCTGAAAGGGTGAAGGGAAAAGAAGGGGTAACCCGGGGAGAAAGCTGAGGGAGAGGAACTGAGCCCTTTCCCTCTAAGGTGACAGAGGAAAGGGAAGCACAAGCTCACAGAAGTGTGCTTCCCTCTAATCCAAAGCACACAGGTGTGGATGTCCTGGCTGTGATATGGTACTACGGGAAAAGTATAAAGGGCCCTGGATGAAAAACGGAGGGAGAGGAGTATAAGAAAAGGAGGGAAGTGCAGGTGTATGTGTGTTTATTGGTGCGTGTGGCATTTGAGATGGGCTCTGAACACACCAGACTTTGAAGGGGCAGGAGTGCTTTCCAGGTGGAAGGACTGGAGTAAACAAAGATGGAAAAGCCTTCTCGTGAGGAACAGGGAAATAACCTTCTCTTACTGGATGGTGAAGGGGAATTACGGTTGTCAAGAAAAATTGAAGCTCTATTGTGAAGGGACTTGAAAGTCAGAATGAGGATTTGAACTCAACTGAGGAGACACTGGGGATCCTTTGAAAACTTTTTGAGCTAGGGAGTGAGCTAACCTTAGCCCCAGTATAGTATGTGGTCTTGCACATCTCACTTCACCTCTACCAATTTCCTTCTGTGTTAAAAAAAAATGGAGTTTCTATTTTCAGATTCTACATACAGAATATGTGGAAGGATTGGGAGTGGTAAAGAGAGAGGAAACAGAGAAGATGGGTGCAGTGGCTTTTACAGCAGCCTCAGAGAAATAATGACAGAACTATGGGTGGGGGGATGGGAACAGCGAGGAGAAACTGTCCAAAAGGACTCCTGTAGCAGCACCTGCTTCCTGGCATAGTTTCCCCTCCTGAGATACCATTTCAAGGTTGGGGGCTTGATCCTTTAAGGGGTACAGTGGCTTTGAGCCATCTTTACGCATCTGAGTCCTGCAATCTGAAGAGGAATGGTGCCTTGGTGTCAGGGTCACATGACACCCACAGGCTGTAGTAAATTGGGGTGGAAGTGTGGGGAATGGAGGCTGGCAAGAGTCTCTGGGGAATCAGGCTCCTTCTTGCAAGGCCTTCTTGCCCTGGGAAAGTTAGCAGTGGTCAGGCTGCCTCCTCCGGGCTCTGGAGCAATACCAGTTCCCCTCTGGGGCATTTTTACCACACTCATTGCTCCTTCTATAAAGTCACAGCTACTCTGGAATCATTTTTGAGTACTTATGACATGTGTTAAAAAACAAGAGAGGAGACATGGAAACTCTCTGTACTACTGTTGCAATTCTTCTATAAATCTAAAACTGTTCTAAAAAACAGCAAGGGAAACAGATCCCTTCTATATATAACCCAGCACTTGGCCTTGTTTTCCTCTCAGCAATGGGAGGAAATTTGACAACCTCCTCCTCTTCTTCAAGGATATTTGTCAAATGCTGATACAGGCTACAAGTTAATGGATTGTTTGATAAAAAGCAAGAAACTCAGGTAATTGCACATCCTATCAGGCCTCGCTGCCTGTCATAGCTTCCTTATACCGAGAGAAACAGCAAAAACTCGAGGCAACGGTATTCTACATCTGTTCCGGGTTTTAGAGAGACAGAGTAGAGAGAGGTGCAGCGTTGGGTAGTGTGTGGTGATGTGGTGACTGGCAGATTCCAATACGCCATTGTCATCTTGCATCAAGGTTCCTTATTGCAGACAGAAACCTGCCTCCACACATGAGCGCAGCCCCTTCTTAATCATCTGAGGGCCCTGGTTCAGCAGTTAGCCTCACTCCTAATGACATTCTGTTAAATGGACAAATTCCTTTGAAGCCTTGTCCTTCTTTGAAATCCAATTTTGCAGGAAGCCAAATCTGATTGGGGGTAGCCATGGAAACCACACGGAGGAGTCTTAGAGGAGGTGGAGAGAGGCAAAGCAAAACGTGAGAGTCAAGAGTCCTTTACTGCTCTGTCGGAAATATCAAAGGGATCTGGAGAGGTTGGCAGCAGACAAGTCCCTGCCCGGGTCCTGTTCTGTGTGGCTGGGTACCATGTGGCTGTCATGGAAGTAAGCAGCCAGCTGTCTCCACATACAGGCAGGGGGATGGAGCAGAATACACAAATCCCAGGTCTGTCTGCCTTCCTCTTCTTCCCCTCCCCCCAGCCCCAATTCCAGCAAGATCTTAGCATCCCCTTCTTAACTGTCTCCCACTTAAAGGCAAACAACAAAAGAATGAGAAGGTTAAAATACAGGGCCCTCACAGATAAGAGGTCCTTTGGAGCAAAGGCCATGAAATTATTCTGAAATTCCTTGTAATTAGATAAGATAAGGGCATCTAAAGAGATGCAGAGCAGCCAGGAATGGAGTCCGCAGCACAACATGCAGAAAGTATACCGCCTGGTCCACCGGGGTCCCTCACACACTGTCAGCAGACGGAAGACACAAAAAACAGGGCCCATGCCAGCCTCTGGGCTGCTTGGAGATGCCGTCTACATGTTCTCATGCCAGGTGGGCACTCACTAAATATGCATCCATGGGGTGCCCAGAGAGCTCAATCAGGAAGAAACAAAAGCATCTGGCACCCAGAAGGCATGGGGTGGGAACAACTGCAAGCAAAGCAGGAGCTGGCTGGCACTGCTCCGCCCTGGGTGAAATGGGTCTGGAGAGGAACTGCAGAGGGCAGCTCTTGGGCTTTATCCCGAGCTGGTTATTGATCCCTGGATGCTGGGTCATGACACGCGGCTGAGCTGATGTCTGCCCTGTGGATGTGCGGCCGCTGCATCGCAGCCCCTTGGTCCCAACCCCATCAACCGGGTTTATTGACTCTTTTATTGACGATGTTGAGGCCTAATGAGGACAAGAGCTGCACACTTCATTAAAGGCTGTGGAAGGAGAGATGATGCATCCTGCTGGTGCCAAGAACCAGGCTCGCTGCATGCTTGGCAAGGCCCCGGAAACCAAGTCTCATGGCACCCTTGAGGCAGAGGAGCTGGACATAAGATGCTCGCTTCGGCGCATTGCTCAGTGGCCTTAAATTGCAAGGTTTTCACAGCATGCCAGAAGCCTTACGCTTACTAATTAGCTGACCTTTCGATTAGGAGGGTCCTAACATACACAGACTCATACAAATGCACTTTGATGGCCTCCCCTTCCAGCTCACCCTTCCAGATTCTTTGCACTAATACATGCAACAAAATAAGCAGGTTCTCACATCATAACAGGGAACACTCCCAAAGCAGGTTCTCCGTGAGACAGTCTCGGAACAGAATGAGGACTATTAAAACTCAAAAGAATCTTCAGGGTGATCAAATTTAAGATGAGGAACTGACCCAGTGCCCTGCCCAGGGCCAGCCAGCTCACCAGGGGCTGTGGTGGCATTAGAATCCTGGTTTTCTAGTGCTGGTCCAAAGCTCTTACAGAACTGAACACCTGAGATGGATAATTACAGCCCAGGGATCACTGAGCAGCCCTGTGAAACAGTCCTAGTTGGTCCCTCTCCATCTAGAGAGTAACACTTCTTTCTTTGTTCTTTGTCCCATATTCCTATTATTTTTTTCCCTATATTCCCCAATCACTTTTCGTGTGAGGCTTCTTTGCCTGTGCCTTAGACCACATTAGACATCCCCCATGGGCACTGGCTGAGCCGAACAGGGGCCCTAAAGACCAAAGAGGTTGCTGATTCTGACATTCTCTGTCTTTGATTGGTTCTCTTGGGAATCTGAAGTGGAGGTGGGGGTTGGGGGGACACACGAAAAGTGTCAGCTGCAGCCAGAGGAGCGTGTGCGCTCTGAGTGAGATGTGCAGGCAGTCTATGGGTTAATCTGCATGGGAGGCAGGTGGGGCCAAGGCTAATTTTATAGGCTAAATATTTGTAGATATGATAATTTTGGAAAACAACGGAAGGAGTAACCCTTTCTTTGGGGGGTGATCAGGAGATTAAAGGTAAGTAATAGAAGGAAAGCAACCTAACAAAAGTTGAACTGGCTTTCTTTGGTTTCCTTTCATCCATTATTTCAAAAGACAAAAGTTTAAGCTCCATAAGCCGCTTCCTTTATTGCTACCCTTTCTTCTCCCTCACTTTAGTAAAAATCTTAGAATTCAGGGTTGGGGCAGGGGGATTCAAGGTGAGAGAAGAGAGAGAACAGTTATTTAAAATCTGATAGAAAGTGCTGCCTGCACAGCACAGGTGCACACACGCTTGGAGGAATACACACACTAAGAGAAACTGATGTAATTTGGTCAGATTTACCAATATTCACAAACACCAACAGAAGCACTCCCTGGAGTCACAGATACCACTAGCAGTGGGTGATTATTTCAGTGCACGAAAGTGGGAGAAAATACCCTTCCCCTAATAGATACCCTATGTGTAATAACCTTTAGTTAGGTCCCCGAAATACATTCTTTCCTTTCCTTCAGAATTGTGTCAGTGTCCATTTTGGCTTTTTCCTTTCTAAATGCCTATTCCTAAACATC